TTAATTTTTAAAAATTATAAAATTAATTTTTGCATTGAAATTTTTTAATTTAATAATTAAATCATTAAAATTTAATATAAAATATAAATTATTAAATAGAATATATATAAGTAAACTTAGTCTTATTTTAATTAACATAATATAACTCTTAATTTACACTACTTTTACTAGACTTGTCTATAAATAAAAAAATCCATTTCATAAAAATTAATATATTTAATTTTCAGGATTTCACATAAAAATATATATTATATTTATTAAAATATTCTTGACTACACCAGCAATAAATAGTATTCTCATTTATTGTTTTGGAATATTTTTGGTTTGTGAACATTAAATAATATTTTCGTGATTTAAACCTACTTATATTTTAATAAAAAATATTAAGGCTTATTTTGCTTATATATAAGTCGAAAGAGAGTACTTTGTTCCTTTTTAATACTCCTTCAAAGTTGTTATATACAAAATATCAAAGGTAATAAATTTTCTTATTTTTCGTAGAATAATTTTTATGTCTTCTCTTATACCTTCTATTAGTTTTACTTCATAATAAACTCATATTAGGTGTCCTATATAAATTAATTAAAAATTAAGTGAGATGTAAGGTATAATTAACAAAAAAATTTAAAATTACCTTGAAATTTAAAAATAACAAAGATTACTTCTGTTCCTATTTATAAAACACAACGTAAGATAATTATTTATTCTTTTATATAAATTTAATTTATATTATCTTGTATAATACTTATTTTTAAACTAAAATATCTCTAAAGTATGTTCTCTTAATTAAATAAAATGTATTAGTTGATCTCTTTAAAGGCTATGCACTCTCTGATTAGATAGAAAAAAAAATGAATATTAATAAGAAGACAAATAATATAACAAATGCATTTTAATTAGTTAAAAGATTGTTATTAATAATTAGAAGAAAAAAAAGATGATATAAATATAGTCTTAGAAATATATATATATATATGTATATATATATATATATATATATATATATATAAAATTGTGTTTGATCAACTA